TTTTTTTAAAGAATAAAATTACATACATGTCCCTCAGTGAAATTCTTAATTTATAGTTTCTTTTATGATTTTTTTACTTATAAGTGATATTTTACTAGTAGATAATTTTTTTACATATAAGTTAATATTTATCTAAAAAAATAAATAAAATTCAATATTTACTTAAAATTTTAAGTTAGTGTTTTTTACTTATTAGCAAATTTTACAATTATAAGATAATTTTATACTTTTAAATAATTTTAATTGAAGTTTGACTTATAAGTAACTTTAAATATTTTATAAGTAATTTTTATATTATTAGTGGTAGTAATTTTAATTTATAAACAATTTTTTTACATAAAAGTATTGTAATGTGAAAACTATTAAAACTTTTTTTGGGCATAAAATTACACTGTAGCACACTTTTGCGAAATTGTTCCCACACCCCCACTTCCTAGATTCGCTACTATAAATTTTTGGCTTTATTGAAAGAGGAACCAAAAAAGGTTTCTTTTTGCCATGGGAGCCACCATAGCTCAAATAATTGAAGCTAAAATATTGGTTAAAGTTAAGAATTTTAGGAGAAGTTGATCTCTGTTGTGGGTTTTGGTCGGTATGTTGCCGGTGATAAGTTGATTCTTCACTTCCCATCAGATGGATCACCATTTTAGTGATTTGGGATAGATATAGTTTGATTTTCAGTTGTCTTTCTTTGTTTTAATATAGTATTAGTTGAAATACCACTGCGACTACGACGGACGGAGATGTGCGTTCAAAAGGCACGATGTGTGGGGAGAGATGGTCAACAACCGTCAGACTGACCTAGCTTACACCAATTCCTGGATCCGTCATTGGGATAGATATAAAAATGGCTATCAATTACAATTTATGCTTACAATAAGCGAAGTCACACTCAACTATAGAGTCACACCCCGACCATGGGATACATGACTTTGTGACAGTCAAACGCTGGAGAAAACATGAAACTTGCTTCATAAAAGAAAAAGTAACTTTCGTACACAGGTTATCCAAGAAATACACAAAGAGGAACTTATCCTATTCAAGACCAATTTGGGAATGTTTAATTCCCTCTTCTGGAGAAAATTCTCTTCCAAGATTTAACAAATTGTTCCAGTTAAAGGTGATAAACGGGCCCAAATGAGGAACCCAACAAAGCAGAATCATCTGTATCACAATGAAAAATTACAATGTTAAACTGAACCTAGGACCTAGTACTATTTCTTACTTGAACAACAGATACATCAGCCATGTTTAATCGCATCATCTCTTAACTTATCCTTTGGATTTCTTCGAAGAATGACCCGTCTTGCGCTTGTGTCGACTGAAGTCTGACACAAACCGAAAAGTCTGGCCGCATCCCGCCTCTGTGCAAACATAAGGACGATCACCCGTATGAACTCTTATGTGTTCAGTCCGAGCCCATGGCCACTTAAACGTCATCTTGCAGCCTTTCCATGGGCACTTCAGGGGACGATCGTCCATGTGAACACGTCGATGCTGCACCAGGTACTTGTGTGAGAAGAACTTTTTCCCACATGCCTTGACAGGACATATATTCCGTTTGTGCAATTTAAGCTCCTGTTTCGAGCCAAAACTCATACTGCAGCCTTCCATGTTACACGGGTATTCCATTTCCTCGTCCTTTGTCTTAGCATTGTTACCGCTAGCCGGAACTTTCATGGCTTGACCTTTCTTTGTTATCATATTTTTATTCTGCATCTTTGGTATGGATCTCGCTTTAGCTGATTTGGTTCCTGAATCTTTACCTGGTTTTGAAGTTCTTCTTCTTAGTCGTGTACCTGGCCAGCCTTCCAGCTCGCTGTCAATAAGTGAGTCGGACTGTTTCTTGCTACTCTCACGAGTATTCTGAGGCTCAGGAGTCACTTTCTTCATTTGCTTATTTCCAAGCTTATTCTTGACTTGTTTACGATTCCTGACTGGAGATTTTTCCACCTCATCTTCGCTAAGTGGGTCAATATGTTTCTTGCTTTTCTCGTGAGTATTCTGAGGCTCGGGAGTCTCTTTCTTCATTCGCTTGCTTCCAAGCTTACTCTTACCTTGCTCATTAGAGTTCCTTACTGAAGGTTCCTCCACCTCGTCTTCAGTGAGTGAGTCAAAATGTTTCTTGCTTCTCTCATGTTTATTCTGAGGCTCGGGATTCTCTTTCTTCCTTCGTTTGTTTTCAAGCTTACTCTTGACTTGCTTTCGAAACTTCCTGATCGGAGATTCTTCCACCTCGTCTTCAGTGAGTGCTTCAAGCTTTTTCTTGCTTCTCTCACCTTTATTCTGGGGTTCTTTAGTCTCTTCTTCCATTCTCTTTTTTCCAAGCCTACTCCTAACTTGCTTAAGAAAGTTCCAGGCTGAAGACTCTTCGGAAGATTCCTCTGGAGTTTCTGCCATCAGAGATTTTTCTTTCTCGGCCGACCTATTTTCTGCTCGACTCTTCCTCTTTCTACTAGTTTTGCAGCTTGTAGAAGTTGCTTCAGCAGTTCGGGAGGCATCTAATGGCCTCCCAAGGTACACATCCGTCTCAGCCCAAGTAGGATTAGCTTTCTCCAGTTCTTGATCTTCAGGATTGTTAGTTAACAAAGGGTGAACCTGACTCGACATCCAGACTTTGCCACACCATTTTCCAGCAACAGCAATCCTTCTCTGTTTGCCTGATCCCTTGCCATCATTTTCCCGAGTGTCTGCTGGAGAACTACGCCCAAAAGCATTATATACAACTGCATTGTATGGCATCTGCTTACTGTAGAGAGGAGATCGGCTAAGACTAGCACTGTAGTAGAGATTGATGCCAAGTTTCACGGCCCAGTCTCCATTACCATGTATAGCATCTTCACTATCTAAAGCTAATCGTATCATTTCCTCATCCTTTTCTGTGGCCTCCCTGAATGGCGTATCATTCCAGAGAAAATCAATTTTCAATTCTTCTGCCACCTTTTTGGCTTGAGACTCTAATTTGGGATAGTCTGCAGATTTTTCAACAAAAACTATCAACCAGTGCATGAAAAGAAAGAGGAAATGCATGAAACTAAGAAACAAAGATGGGACATTTAGGGTATTTATACTATTATTTTATTTAATGTTTAATTTGTTGGGGTAAGGTTTTAGGGGCATGCCACACTTAGGTACACTATAAGAGTCTATAATCAATCCACTTCTCCATTCCATGAGTGTATAACAAGTCTATTGACAAATATGAATCATTACAATCACGAGTTCTGAAATTGAGATAGTCCAATTTATTAGATCATGTTAAAATGAAATTATGCTAAAAAATTGTCTTTCAAACTTGGACCAGTAATAACCAAAAACTATCGCATAATATTTCATTATCATTCATTTCAGTCCAACGTAATGACTCGAAATAGAAAACTAATTCACCCGAAAAACATTTTATAATGGAAACATTGGATAATAACAAGGAAAAGAAGCGAAAACCGTGTTCATCATCTGTAACAGCGTACCACACATCACTAAAGGCATTACGAACTGTAAGCTGAGAAAATAAATCACATCTCACCTGGGTGACAGACAAGGAAAACATGAGCTCCTCCAAATGTACTGAGCCGCTGTTCTACTTGTACAGCATGCTGCAGGCAGAAAACGTGCATTCTAGAAGATTCTTCATCAGATCTTGGAGCAAAAGACATAGATGTCTTCTCAAGTGGTACCAAACCAGTGCTAATTGTCGCTCCATCCTTATCGGCAACAGGGTTACAACTTGAGGCACTGTTCTGTAATTTCGTTAAATTTCTAAAACTATGCATTAAAGACTTTGAGTCAACCAATTTACAATTGTCGGTTTCAAACTCATCAGAATAATCTAAATTTTGATATACTTTGTCCTTATTTCCCGCTCTGGCTATGCCATGCTTCGAGTAAGAATTGGGAATTTTGAGAGGAACCTCATTCCCACTGTCAATTTGGTAATAGCCGAGCTCTTGACCGTCATGTACACCTTCAGAACAATCACTTCCTTTAGTTTCAGGGTCTTTGACAGGAATACGTGCTTCGACCTCTTCCTCCTCGGAATCGGAGGAATTGTCATACATCAGAGCCAATAGGCCGAGGGAAGAGGTATCTTTTTGTGTTTTACTATTTGAAACTATTATTGCGCAATCATCATCTAGCGTTCCAATTTGAGCAGCAGAGCTTATTGGGACATCAAACAGTCCATGTGATGTCTTTTTAAGAACGGATCCTGCAAATGAACAAAAAGTTTGGATTATAATTCACAAGCACATTCTTTCGTTTGAGCACTATACATAAAAAGGCAGCTAGGAAGCATGGATACTTCAAAACTCCCTTTCTATATAACACTTATATACATATCCAGTATGCGTGTAAAATATTCTTAATAGCAGGTAATGTCAGGATACTGTCTGGATACAATAAGGACACATTTCGGACACAGAAAGCACACATCCTGTATTAAGAAATTACGTTTTCTGCATAAGACAAAATTTATGCAGATAATTTTTATCAATAATTAGCATTTAAAATACAAAAATTTAATCTATTGTTCAAACAATTAACTCAGTGATTGACTTGAATCCATGCCAATACAAATCTTGTCTCTTTCTTTTTATTCAGATAATTTTTATCAATAATTAGCATTTAAAATAGAAAAATTGAATCTATTGCTCAAAAAATTTACTCAGTGATTGACTTGAATCAATGTCAATACAAATCTGTGGGTCTTTCTTTTGATTGCTATTATTCTCTTAGCTTAGGGAAACTATATATTATGCATTTATTTGTATACTTACATTTATACTTTTTACTACACATGTATCTTAAAAATTTTGAGAACACCAAATCTATATTTTATGGGTTACAATAATGCTATTCATATCAGTGCATCCTGAGAAGGCAGGCCATTTGTGAGGGATAGTCCAAGGTCCGCATATGGAATCCATAAATTATAACAAATCATGTGCAGTACAAGTGGTAACAATAAGCAGGGTCTTATTAATTTAGTGACTTAACTAGAAATCAAAATCAAGTATTCTTTTCTAGTCCTTCGTATCTTCTATTAATATCTTCCAAAGAAACATCCACACATATCTTCTACTAATTATCTTCCAAATAAATATCCACAGAAGAGCATTAAATATCTTGTCTATATAATGCATCAATCTTAAAAGAATATCTACATTGTGGAGTGGTAGAATCTTAATGGGCTGGGGGCACAACTTAACCACAACCACTCTTAACTGTGGTAAGAGAAGTTCTGCACTAGTCATGAAACTGATGCATTTAATTGTGCTTTAGAGTAAGTCAAACTTAGTGTTTGTTTGGGAGAGATTATGCAAGTGAAAAATGATTTTTTTTGGAGAATGTGTGATTAAAAAGTAGGGAAAGTAAAATTATTTTATTGGGGAATTTGTGGTTTAAAATGGGTTTGAGGAAAAATGATTTTCAAATAAATTATGCCACATGAACGCCTAGTTTTAAGCCTCGAACCCCCATTCTTTAAAATTCATTTCCCCCTACTCATTTTTAATCATGCATTCTCCCAATAAAATTTTTTTACATATAAACCTACAACTTTTCCCTACTTTTTAACCATGCATTCTCAAGGAAAATCGCTTTTTACAAAATCGATTCTAAAAAAATTGGGGCTCAAATAGGTGCTAAGTAAATTCATCAAGCATGATTTTCAAAGTTACTTTTTTACTCACAAACTTAGTGTTCTAAAAGTAAGCTTTTAAGCCAAACATGCTCCAAATGTGATCCAAGCATGTGTTCACTTGAATACAGATACACAAGAAGAGAAGTTATGCATCTATATTTTCTAGTGTGGCACATATGTTATTATCCAACATAGAGAGAGAGTTATGCATACCCACATCCATGTATAGGATATATCAACTATATAATCCAATTACAGAAGGCAAAAAATACATGCAAAAAAACCCCTTCCAAATGAACCAGCTAGTATGTATGGTTTTATAGAAGATACCTGAATGGGTATTCATGACACAAGCTTCCACATCTCCAATGCAGGGATTATAGCCATTGCCAGCTGCTTCCCAATCATCAAAGATATTACAATCAGCTGACATTAGATAACGAGCAGCAGTTTCTGTCGGTTGAACTATTGCTACACAGGCAAAGCATAAAATACCACAAGTGACACATGAAAACAGTCCCTGCTCTGACAATCTATCAAATTGGGAAACTTGTTTTGTGTCAAAGTCTGCATTTCCTGTCTGAGGAGCTAAAGAGGGAAGCTCATTACCATTGCACAAAGAATAAACTTCCCCTTTTACTGGATAACTTCTCACTTCCCTCACTTCTTGGTTCCTATTCAGAGTGACATCCTCACAAACAGTATTTTTTGCAGTTTTCAACTCAAGATCCGGACTGCAAAATCTGGAGAACAATCTAGATCTGGCTGCTGACTGGGATCCACCTCGTAAATTTGAACTGCTTAAAGAATTTTGAGGAAGAACTATAACGGCAGATCCTTTTCCAAGAATATGAAGTGTATTGTTATTCTGCATCACATCCTTCGAAAATAGCTCTTTGATCAACATTTCTCCTTCACTTTTCTTTTTATCCTTTAACCGAGAACTCCGTGGTTCCACACAAATGCTCTTTGGTAAGCTGCAAAAACATAAGTACAAAATGATGATGAACATAATTTGCAAAAATAAATAAAAATCATAGCAGTATATAGATTATGCATAAGCCACATGATTTTGGTTGGTTTCTCTTAACAATAATGGCACTTTTTTTGAAACATAACTGCCCAAAACAAAGACTAATCCATTCTGTTGTACATTTAAGATTGAAAGCTTCAGCAAAGAAACATTTCTTGATGTGAAATGCCATAGCAAAACACACGGAGAGGAGATTGATGGCAAAATTATCAAGAGCTGTACCTTATCATATATAGGCTGAACTATACTTGGAACAGAGATTGAACATTAAATTGTTTGCGCCGAAGAGTGCACCGACTTACAAGAGAAGGGGTTTTCAAGCATGCATGTTAATTCAAGAATGAACAATGGAAGTCACGTGTTATGTGGTGCAAAGCTTCATACATAAGTAACACGGGAAAAGTAAATGCAACCAAGAATTCTAGTTTGCATGTACAAATGTTAATTCTCTTGAAATGGTTGAACCAATATTCAAAAGTCATAATGAAGAACACTTGGAATCATTCAGTTGGGAACCAAAAAAAGTGTCCGAGTGTATTAATATGTAACAATTAAAAAGAATCAGAGTAGTTTTATGCCCACAAATCCTATCCATAGCATTCACTGCTTCGGGATAATAGTTTACACTTCAATAAAACCTCATTCCACTGGATATGAACCTAAAACCATTGCAATTTTAGAGGCATGACCAATTAGAAGGCCAGGGACTGCAGTAGGAAACTCAACACAAAATCAGTTATAGCAAGGAATCAAACCTTGAACATAAGGAAAGTGCTAGGTCATACAGTAACTGGAAGTGAGACACCATTGGAGAACAATTAATTGATGCCCTACGAATAGCAGCGTCTTTCGCAATCCTCAACCATTCAGGAGTAGCGATATTAGCTGCCTCCCCACAATTAAATCCTAAAATTGAAAGATCATACAAAGCGTATAAGAATACCTTACATTCAATATATTTTAAATTACGGTTTTCTTAGTGACCCTCAATGAGATCTCAACATTAAATGGGATTAAGCAGAAGAAAATGTAGTACCATGACTAAACCCTGAGTGATAGGCTCTTGGGAAAGTGACGACAAATTCTCCAGCATTTTGCACCAACCTAATTCAACATACCAGGAAGTAAGAGATCCATTGATAATTTCCAGCCAACAATCAAAAGGCTCAAAGCATTAAAGAATCGGGGGATTAAAAATATTAATAAAGACGTAGTCACAACAGCATCCAAAGACTTTCCACAACTGAAAGGAAAAAAGGGGGAAAACTTCTCTTGAGTAAATATAAATGGCCAAGAAATATAATTTTTAAGAAGTCACATATTTAAAAGAGCATCTCTTCGCTCTTACTCTGTGTTAACTTCAAATTCTTTCATGTGTCTAGAAAATTTGCTCCACTAGTTATATATAACTCAGTGTACCTTTATTTTAATTTCTTCAATTGGTGAAAGAAGTACATAGCATAGTCTAAGAGAGGCAGAAAATACGAGAACCAAGCAATGAAGGCCTTTTCCCAGAAGCGAGTGAAATTAAGTTGTAGAGAGCAAATAATATAAAAGAATAAGCTACCATATCAAATCATTACCTGCAGCATGGAACACCAGCATTAACAAGTACTTCAGGTGACATGACTGTGGTCTTCTCACCGAGTGTAGCAAAAGTAACTGAAAGAAAATGCATACTGATAAAGTTCATTTGAAGTGACGGGCAAACATTAACTCATATATGCGTATAGATCTATGACTGCAGGAATACAATACTCGCTGGTTTTACATTGTTCTCAAGCTTTGTGGTATGTTCAGGAATTCAAATATTTTCTCGGTTTCAAAAGGACCATCATTTTTATTCTTTTCAGGGTGGTGGGAGGTGAGGAATAGAGTATGATCACTATTTCAATTAAATTATCAAGAAAGGTCTTTAACTTGCAATAACACTATAGTTGATACCCCTTTCCACACAGCAATTTTTGGTGGAGTTAGCACCGAAGATTTACCGTAGATAGGCACACAACACTTCCCACCAGAATGTCGAAGAGAACATATCCATTTACAACCAAAAATATATGAATTGAGAAGGCAGAAGCATATCGCTGTAGTTTCCTGAACTTCTAGGCAATTTTAGCAATGAAAGTTATCCACTAAAATATACCACTTTTAGTAATGTTCACCTATAACACTTCCCAGCACATGTAATATAGAGCATATCAACTGTCGACATAAACTTTATAAACAAAGGATGCTAAATTTCAACTACATATAACTACTAACTTACCGAGAGGATTTATCTCTCCACCATAACCCTGCACCCGTATCACTTCCTCAAACGCAACAGCCGCCTCCCTAGGCACACCATACCATGTCTTTCCAGCACCAACGTGCATATAATTCAAACTATGCAGGTCATGATCTTCAACATGCCAAGCAAACCAACTAAACATCATAGCAATGTACACCATGGGTGAAGTTACCCCAGGAATTTCCTCCTTCATGAACCTTAACAATGAACTTTTTGCCCTTGAAACCCCCCTCATATTCCACTCTGTCTCCCCCACCGTCAACGGGCCCTCGTTCCCCTTCCCACCGCCGACCTTCTTCACCACAAATGCTGAACCTGGCATGTCATTTGCGTACTCCACGGAAAAGGGCTTATCCACTGTTGCCTTCCAGTAAAGGGTCTCAATTTCCAACGCATTCAACCCTTTCTTCCCATACTTCTTCAAATAACTCTTCTCAAAACTCTTGGCCTTCGCCTCGAATTCCGAAACGGTATAATTCTCCCCACTCTGCCACACGGGTTTCTGCACCGGTCGGTGCTTCCTCGGGCAAAATCCGATCTGCTGTTGCCTAGTGGTGAAAGTCGGTGCGGGGTTCAAATCATTGGACCGGGCCAAAAGGGACTTGTTTAAATTCGCAATGGCAGTCTTCTTATACGGTGCCGGCACAGGAGGGATTATTTTGCAAATCCCATATTTGGAAGCTTCCTTTTCAATCTTGAAAATGTAAGCAATCGGATCTTGGAACTCAGCTAGGGTTGGGTGGTACTCTGGAGCTACTGGCAAAGATTTCAGCCATGGAAATACCTCAATATTCCCACCACTTACTTCTACCCCAGCCATTAATAATCAATTAAAAAGTCAAAAAAGCCAGAAATTAAACAAACACATATACCTACAACTCTGTGTCAATCTCTGCATATGCATGTGATTAAACTTGCAAGTATATTGTGAGATCTGGGGAGGGTTCATGAGGGAAGCATTGTGGGTATACAGAAAGTAATAAACACTAAACAGATGCTGTTGAGATTCTCTATTTCTCTAATAATATTTCACTTTCTATTTTGTGGGTACTGTTTGTTTTGGCTTTTTTAGTAGGATATATTTTTATATTACCCTTCATCTGCTTCTTGGGTGGTGAAATGAACAGATGAAAAGGGGCAAAATTGAAATCAAGAGTGTAGGGTTCTACTAAAACATCCTACTGTGGGTTTATGACAGTGATTTTGGATAAAATTTGTTTTGGAATTTTCTATGTAATCCGTTTGGCTAAGCCGTAAAAGTGAAGCTGCGTCGTCTAAATTTTTTATCCTTTTGATACTTTACTTCCTTTTATTTTTGTCAGAATAATTACTTTTCCGGAAATAAATATTTTTACTGTAAAAACAAGTAACTCATTAGAACGTTCCTAAGAAATTATTTATTTTTCACTTATAAGTACTTTTTAAGCCTGGCCGAACAATGTTCTAATCACTAGGAATCAGACCAAAAATAATCAATGATAGATGGGGTAGAGTTCTTGGAATGGGCGAATTTTTGGTATTTTTTTCAGTTGGGGTCCTTGTATTTCTTTCAATTTATATAAAAGCCTAGATCTGTGACACAATATTCTTTGTTTGTTGTTTGCGTTTTTGCCCTAGTTTTGTTGGTTGATCGTATTTCTCTGAGTTTATAGCTCAAGTTGTACTTTCGTATATTCACTTCAGTATTTGCTAGTTGATTCGTAATCCAATTTATTTCATATGTATCCTAATTTTGTTTGTTTTGAACATTGGCGTTTGTTTCTATCCTATAATTTTTTATTTATTTTTATTCGGATAGGAATGAGTATTCTTGGGATTTTTGGTACTCGGTGTCGGTGTATGTTTCTATGTAAAATTTGTCTTTATTTTATGAATAATGTTACTTGTACATTAAAATGGGTGGACTCTCTAAACGGGCTGAGACTGACTCATCTGAAAATGACCATTCCTGGACTCAACTTGGTTTGGACATGATTGATTGGACTCTAATTTTTTAATTTTATTTTGTTTATTTTAGGTATTTTGATAAAAAAAAAAAAAAAAAATGCACGAACTAGGTTGAGAGGCTACAGGCCAGGAGAGGCCATCTAGACTAGCTCATCTCACGGGGCAACCTTTTTCACTGGTAGAAGAAGGAAGCTTGAATCGACCTACTCATTTGAAAACTAATATTTATCTTTGATATTTTCTTTTTTGTATATATATATAGGGTTAATTTATTGATTTTTCTTGTATTTAGTGTCCTTGTATTTCTTTGGTGGATACTCTCGAGAATAAATTTAGTGAAGACGGGATGAGACCTGTAACTCGGAGGATTAGAGTATGTGGCTATGAACCACGTTGTCAAGGGTTCAAATACCTCCTCGCCCAAAAGGGTAGTATCTTTCCCTCTGAAATTGGAATAAGTTTGGCAATGAATCACGGATTATTGATGATCTTCTCTATCACTAAATGGGAAATTTGCTTTAAAATCGTTTGCCTTGTATTTTTTTGGTTATTTAATTTGTCTCAATCTTTCATTCGTCTAATATCCATTCCCAAATGATTGATGGATTCATTTCAATAGTTTTGTTGGTTTTAATCTTAGCTTCCTTCTGCATCATTTTGCGTTTTTTGGTTGAGATTGAACACAACTAAACTTAACAAATGAGATTTTAATTTTAATTTTTTTAAAATTAACTAGTATTCAATCGATTTTACCAGAAGTACCATTTAAGGTAAGGGAAAATATTGATATCGCCATTGAATGAGGGGAACATAGTACTATTATTAAACTAACTTTCAATGTGAAAGTTCTCTAGATAAAAGAAAAATCTTCAATTTTAAATTAAACAAGCAATTAAAGGATTTTGAATCAAAACAAAGAAACAAAATAGAGTTCGATTTTGTCACTATTATATTCAAGGATCAAACAATAGACTACGTTCTTACACCTTAATGGATTTATTCCTCTCGATCCAAAGATTCCACAATATGACCAATTGAGGTTGTCATGATTGTACCATTATGAGACAGGCTCGAAGAGATAGCACCTTCTACTCTAGTCTGTACCGAAATTTTCATTATTTCTATCATGCATTCTTTAGGTACAACGCTCTATAGTTTACACAAGCCCAGCTGAATGAGAGAACAACTCTTGAACTTTGATGTCATAGTGAGGGATTGAATGATATTTGAGATATAATGGTTTTGTCACAAAACCATGTAAAAAGAATACCTTACGTTCACCAATTTCTTCTGCCTACTCTCCAACTTCCAGAAGCCTTTTCCATACACTTGAATCCTGTTGTTTGAATATAAATGAAGAAGAATAATGTTATTTATTATTAAAATGATGAAATATGAGTGACGTGACAACTTAGGTGGAATAATGGAATATGACAGTTTAATCGCCAATCTCTCTTATGAAAGTTGGATTGTCATATCTCATTATTTCAGTCAAGTTGCAATATCACCGATATTCTATCATTATAATGATAAATAACATTACTCACTAAAGAAACATGGTGGGTTGTGAGAGTACTTTGCTTTCATGACTAGCTCTTGATCCCTTAATTTCCACCATAGTTTTCAAGCAAAAATAATTGAAAGGTCACAAAAACACATGCTATTGGATCGTTCCGCCCCCTAAAAGGCCAGACCCAGATTTTACAGGAGACAGGGCTGGAGAGGCCTTATGGTTAAAACCCGCTGGCAGGTGAAAAGTATAAGTCAGCCCATTAATTATAGGGCCTATGACTATGGGTCGGATAGGACCTTGATTTGAAAATAGGCCCTGTTCCGGAAATATACCACTGGCAAAGCCCGTGCATGTGCCAATTTGGGCCTGGCTTCTGAAGGTCCAGCCCCCTACTCAACTAATTGCCAACCACACTAACATCACTTGGTTAAGCAATAATTGTCTCCTACAGTTGGCCGCAGTTTAGGTCTCAATTCTTCGCTTTTGTGAATAAGAAAATGTGCCATTTTCTCTCCCAATCTAAATCTAATTTTCAATTGGATTGATTCAGATCCTCCTACATCTATACATAAACATTGGTTTATCAAAAATACACGGGTTTGAATTAGCCCATACCGATCGTATTTCTCCCGAGATGAAAGAAAGATAGACAATTTGTCATTGCCATTTTCCGACCCTTACTGTCCAACTTGAGAACAGACAGCTAATGTATTCCACTTATTGCACATGGTTCTATTTACGTAAAAACAATCAGTCAAAATGATTTAATTCAATTAATTTTTCAAATTCATTTGAGCCCCCGTTTAAGTCACATTAAAATTTTCATTCACATTCTTCTATTCATTTTCAACCACACATTTTTCAATAAAATAATATTTTTCATCATATCAATAACTTTTCTTTCTTTTTCAACCACACATTCTCCATCAATCTACTATTCCAAAATACATTCTTTCAAAATAATGTGACTCAAACACACCTTGAATGAAACTTTCCTTTTGAGTTCTCATAAAAAATGGACGAAGTAAAATGAAATGAAAATGATTCCAATTGGTCGAACGCTCCCCTACCAATGTATTTTTACATCCCACAATATCTGCAGATCGCTTAGCCCCATTCATCTTCGTCGCAAGAGCGCTCGTTCAGTGAGCTAGTTCAGGGGTTCGGCCCCAATGTTGCCTACACATTGGGCCTGACTTTGAAGAACCGACTTGACTCGACTGGTTGCCAACCCAACTCAGCTTACTTCCTTGAGCCCTATTCTCCTACAGAGTCAGGCCAATGGGATGAGCTGGGCCCCTGGTCTGGGCGGACAGCTTTAAGCAGTGTATTAGTGTAGCCTCTTAAATATCAAGTTGAATACTCGGGCTGATTGAGTGATTTCTGCAGCCACTTGTATTGGAGATTCGCAACAGCAAAGACTTTTTCACCAATCAATCCTTCATTCGATGGAGCATGAAATGAAAGGCTAGTATACTCGGGTTTCCATACCTCAATTCCCAATGAAAGCACGGACTCACTCTTGCACACTCAACCCCCGACACAGCAACGGAAAGAATATCAAAAGAACACGTTTGACCCAGCTTATACTTGAAAGTAATTTCTTTTTATTTATAATAATAATAATAATAATAATAATAATAATAAAGTTTGTAGAGGTAATGGGAACATACACCCCCATGCTATGTATTCTACTTGAACGGAAAGACAAAAAAGCATATCTGATACTATTGAAGAAAACCAGTCCCCCACTTTATACATCACAATCTTCTTCAGACGACAAAGAGAATAAAGTATAAAAAAGGAACATACCAGATGGGATTTAAACAAGTAGTCTTCTACTTCCCGTGCATGAAGATATGTTATTTGGGATATTAGGCGACAACATACAGAGAGAAATAGAACTTTATGTTTTTTTCTCAAGATGCATTCGCACTAGTAGCATCTGAAGCAGGCGAACCAAATAACGATAAGAGCCAGCCCCTTTCTCTTGCATGCTGCACGTAAAATTTGAACTTATCCTTTGCATTCGGAATGTCAAGAGCCAGATCCTCGAGCCCGTCCTTGATTCTACCGAAACCTTTGGTCATTTGATTGATAGTTATCAGCCCCTCACTGGAGCACTCCTGAAGCAAATCAAGCATCCTGTCATTTTTCTTCTCCATCGCCATCACCAATGCTTTCTTCACCACCTCATGGTTGAAGAAAGGCATACTGAGATCTCGAATACATTGGCAAGCTTCACTAACAACACCCCCACTTTCGTATTCTTCCAGAAGCTTTTGTATCTTATCCTTTGCATCCTCCACAGCCCAGCCAGTCCCGCCACCCCAACACCTCAGGATCCTCTCCCCAGCATGACGAGCTACTATCAACGATCGAGCCATATGCACAGTTTCACTCCCACTGCAATTTGGTGTCAACCTATTGGCAATCTCGTCCAAATTTAGCGGGGCAAGGACATCATCTATAACAGCCCTTGCCAGAAAATAAGCTAGTTCGTTTGAAGCATCTAAAATGTCAAGTGCAGTATCCTCAGCAGATTCCAAAAGCATAACAAATCCATTGACCATGTCTTCAGTTGAGAAGATCTCGATATGAAGGGCAGAGAGTAAAACAGATGCCATCTCCTTTTCTCTGTTTTTCCTGTCCATGGCTAGAGTGATAAGTTTCTTAAGAAAAAAAGGGTTATACTCGGGTGCCCCAAGATCATCCAGGCTCTGAATCAGTTCAGGAATATCATCTGAGAGGAAATATTCATGAATAATCGTAACAACCTCTTCCTTGTAGCACCTTAACTTTTCATCATTTTTGTCTGGCGCCTCCTCGTCCTTGCCTGGAGATTTTAGAAAAGATGCATCAAGCCATCCTTCGGAAATTGCCTGGGGAACAAAAGATTTAAACAAGGTTTTGGCAGAAGGAATATCAAGGGCAAGGTCATCAAGGCTCTCGGCTAACCGAACAAACCCCTTCATCATCTGACTTGAACTTATCAGACCCTCATCTGCTGCCTGCTTTAGTAGCTTCATGATGAGTGGTTCTGCAGTACGGGTCTCCATAGCTAGAACCAAAGCTCTCTTCACAACGTCATGATGGAAAAATGAAACGCCCAACTGCCTAATACACCTGCTGGCCTCAGAAGTATCTCCACTCTCGACATACTCACTTAAAAGATCTGCAATCTTCTTCTTCACTTCGTTAACAGTAAGATGCGTACTGCCACCCCAACGCCTCTCCACAAGTTCTGCATGATGTGGAGCTGAAAGATAGCTTTTCTCAGCAGTTTGCAATACCTCAAATCCCTTTGAAGCTTCAGGAATCATTTTTCTGGCCTTCGTAATGAAGGATGGTGGTAGAATATCATCAACCACTGCCCGAGCAATGAACAAAGCAAGGATATCAACAGCATCCAATATATCCACAGCCAGGTCATCAGTAGATTCAAGAAGCATAAAAAAACCCTGGCTTATCTGGGTCGAACTGATGACTTTAGCATAAAGAGCTGAGAGCAAAACTGAAGCCATTTCCTTCTCTTTGTCATGTCTGTCCATGGCCATAGAAACAAGCCGCTTAATAAAGTAAGGATGATACTCAGTCGATCCTAGTTCTTTGAGATCAGAAGCAGCAACTTCCACATCACTGGTGTTGAAGTATTCCTCAATAATGGATACCACAGCTTTCTTGTATTCATCCAATGGATCAGAGACAATAGATCCAACAAGATCATATGGCTCCTGTCAAGACGATTGTAAATAGAAGAACAAAGTGGGACCATATACAACAAAGTTAAACAAGCGAATGGCAATAAGTTTTCCTCCAGCAAATCTAAGCATTTGAATAGGAAAATCAAAATGCATAACAATGAATGAAATTGGATGCACAATTCACCTCGCAACTGTCGTAGTTGGGATCATTCCGGTCAATACGAGATTCACCAGCAGTATCTAGCAGTTTTCCCCAGGTGCCCTTACCACCAGCGCCATCTGTCAGCATTATCAGATAAACAAAGCATCAAAAACCAAACACGTGGGGCTGAAACATCAAGTTTAAAACAATCAATACTGAAACATTGAAATAGTTAGAGAGCATAATAATATCACCAGTGTTTCACAATCAGTCGAGAAATATGCAATAGAACAACAACATATATTATATTTGATACCTAAACAAATACGCTATAGTGCCATATGAAAAGCGAAACAGCATCACATACATCTGCCAAATGTGAATCATGTGAGACGCTGAATAAATACATGCATCCCAGTAACATTGCCAGACAATTGATTTAACTATGGAACTTCTAATAACCAATTATATGCTATAAATGTGAATGTGGTGATGGACTAAATCACAAGCAGACAGTAAACTGAGCCTAGATATAATTGGTTAAGTGCAGTTGACATCTCGAGCTGTATATATTGGGTAGGTACTTTATCCACTAGCAGAAAGCTACCATTCAGGAATGGCTATTAAGTCTAATCTATAAAGTTCGTTTCAAGTGTCCCTGGTCCTAGCAGGGATGTTGACTAAGGAGAATGCACAATATCAAGCACTCCACATGTAAAGCACATTTCTTTTCCCGTTTCCACTTCCACTCACATTTTCTCCATAATCTAAAAAAGAAAAGCTCAGTAAATTATTTAGGAAATTTTCAAACCAGATTCTGACAGACAATCATCAGCGTTATCGACTTCATAAATCCAGAAGATATTCCTTTCCCAAAAAACTGAAAGCTAAGCCTCAATGCGTACAAGAGAGAGAAGCAATCCCACAAGAAACGTAAATAAAATTTTGGCTAAACACACAGCGACAGCCACTTCCTTTTTCTTTCTTTACAAGTCTTCTATTCAGTTTGTCTTTTGAAAAGAAAATATGTGTCATGCATGTGGTTCCTCTAAAGTAATGTTGTCAAAACGCCTTGCCAGAGGAGCTATTTAGATTTATCACTACTATTATGAATTTTGTGGCTCTCTTGGGACTCTTTTGCCCTAAAAGTTAGTTGTTCTTCTCAATTTTGATGTTCTCTTCATTTCATTCTCTGTTTACTTGTAATGTGCTGATTCTTGCATCCTTGCACTACATTGCCAGTTAACAAAAGCAATCCATAGTTCTGCACAATTATCAGCATCAACACAAGTGCAATATGAAGTGCAACAACGTGCCACAAATACCTCGAAACGGAAAAACCAAAAGATTTTATAATGTTTGTGATGATGGATGCACAAACAAGAATAACATTGGGAAAGGAAGAGGAAGAGAGAGGAGAAAGAGAAGAGGGAGAGAAAGGGAGAATTTAGGGAAAAATTATAAAGTTTATTTCATATCAAATTGCGTCTTGTTACAAAGCATAAGCCCCCTTTATACAGGTTTCAAAAAATTAATTCTAAGCAGGAAATATTTAATCAAATCCTAAAGAATCTAGTAAATTAACATAACAAAATCTTAGGAAATCCAGTAAATAAACCTTAACAGCTTTTTCCAAATATAAGAATCTAAACATGAAAATTAATCATATAATAATCTAATACGATTTCCATTAGTTTGCCACAATATACAAAATATAGATAAGCAAAGTATGTTGTCTTAATAAGTGGACTTTAATTCATACGGTCATTCTCTGCTGCATTGTTCTTTTCAATCCCCACTTGAAACCATAACAAAATGTTTCACTATATCTCAGAAGTAGTCATGAAGTAAAGAGGGTCCAAGTAGGAAAAATTCACTAAGAAGTAGGGCATACAACAATGGATCAATTCATGGCAAAATACATTTGTATCAGACCAGGATGAATGTATAAAGACCAATGTCTAAAAAGGCTAATCAGGTATCGAAAGATTTTATCTCTGCGAGGCAAATGCGTGAAAATATAAAATGTTAAAACTAATTAACAAATTTAAAAGTTTAACTCGCGAACAAATATAAAATAGATTAATAATATAGATTACAATAAGTTCTCAAATTAACAATCATATAAGAAAATTACAACATATTACTAGCACAAGCAACTAAGATGTCTCTTATATCATCACTACTAGCGTGATCTTTAAAAAAATCATGAACACTATCCGCCTCGTCAAGATGAGTTTCTTCTTAATTCTCCTTCGTCTTTTCCTTTCGTGTAGGCAGAAAAATGAAATAAAGAACCCGTGAATCGTTTTAGGTTATTAAAAAATCTCAAAAGCTAAAGCAAGGAAAAGGCAAGACAAAGGGAGAAGTCGCTTTGAGGTGTAAAACTCAATAAATTAAGGTGCAAGCCTCAGAAATGGCACAAAAGATCCGGGATTCAAAACATTTTATGAATGAGGTGAGATTCAATGCGTAAGCCTCAAATAGTTTTTTTAACAATTATTTAAGTCTGCTAACCTAAAATTGACAGAAATTTTCAGAGATCGAGAAAGTCGTTAATATCATTAACCTGTCAAAATTTCTTTCCTATCAAACTTTTTTTTTTCCATGTGAAACAATATTACAAACTTAGATCTGCAGTGTTTATATACCTAGGTATCCTTTCCAAACTAATCTGTGCCGCGTATACAAGACAGGATCGAACATAGATATTTAATGGCCCATGAGACCATTTAGCTATTGATCAAGAACTACCGAGCAACTAACATGTCATAAAAAATGGAAAACTGAATTTTACAAAATTTCCCTATATCAACACCTAAAAGTTGGCTATATTACGACCAGAACTCAGTACTCAGATGATATGCAATAAAAAATCACGTTCTACAAAATATTACAAAATGACACCTAAAAATTGGCTTACACTGTGGCTAGGCTCAGTACCCAAGATGCACAATGCAAAGAAATATTCTAAAATGTTCCCCTATAAGAAAGCCTAAAAATTAGCTTAAACTATAAAAGAAATCAGTAATCAACTTCTGTAACTCGGTTAGCATGCTTGGCTCAGTTTAAACGTAACCAAAGTCTAACTTTTTGGGCAATATCAGGCATGATACTGGCCAAAAAAGAATAAAAAGTCAGCACTTTCCTCGCTTAATCCAGAGCCAAAAAGTTTGTAGAAAGTTTTTTTCTGCTCTTCATTTGATTAAACATAAATTCAATCAGCGAGTCCACAAGACACACCTCAAATGTATAGATATTAAGTTATTTTTAATTTAAGATAGAAATACTTACTAGTCTAAAGGCCTGTTTGGTACAGATTCTCATTTTCTACATTAAATCAATTCTCATTATCAACCACACATTCTTCAATAAAATAATATTTTCCATCACATCAATACTTTTTTTCTTCTTTTTCAACCACTCATTTCCCATCATATCACTGTTCAAAAATCAATTCTTCCCCCAAAAATATCTACCAAACACGCTATAAATCACAGGTTAGCTCAAAATATTCAACAACAAAAATTTAATAGAAAAATACCAACAAAAAAAAACCAATAATTATTAGAATCACCATTGTTCATTCAAAAAACCTTACCCTTCTTAACTCTGATAAGTTTCCCAGAGTGCGTGCGCCTCACATGCCTAACCGCAAGGCCACCAGCAGAGGCCGACTTCCCCCCTCCTGGTGCCTTGACGTGATGGTGTTCCGACAGCAGAAAAGAAGTCTGAGAGGGAGATTTTGGACCGGGAGATTTCGGGGATGTTGATAACGACAGTGACGACATCACCTCAGCATTCTGGGCCGCTGTTTTCAGCATCTCCCTCTGATCCTCCGTCAGAAACCCCTCGCCGCTAGCCATTTCCGCTCCCTAACCAAACCCTACCCCCAAAAATAACCAAGCAAATAAACACATATATTACAGTAATCCTAAAACTTGTTTACATGTTTATATTCCTTCAATTTTCATTTATTTATGGATTACCTGTGTCGATTGTAAAAATTTCCTCTGCTCTTGGCTCGGATCTCGAGCCAAGAGAGGATAGAGAGAGTGGAGAAGCAATCGAGAATCCGATCTTCGAAAACACACAGCGCGCACTTGAGTGTGTGTCTTCCGATTGAATTACCGTGTACAATATATTAATATCTATCTATAAGTATAGGTTCTTCTCAGATAAAAACTGTAGAATGAGAGACAAAGAGGACGAAATGGAGGCTACGGTTACATGTACACGTCATCTCTTCTCGAGGATATACACGTGGCTTAAGCATGGTTTTTACAAGGGGGTGGTCCGGCTTTCCTCTCGTACTGCTAACTCCAATACGCTTTAATTTGTACTGGAGTCGCACTTATTACTGCGATTTCAGGCGAAAAAACATCGTTGTGGAGGATTGGGGAAAGGGGAAACAATGGACATGAAGTCCGCGGGGGGTCGGTTAGGGTTTTAGATATATTCAATGAAGTTACAAAAATGACCCGGGTGCTTGTAAATTAAATTTGAAAGATTGCATGTTTAGTCCCCAAACTTTAAAATCAAAAATTGATTTTTATTACAATTTAAATGTGGTGCAATTAACAAAAATATGGCGTAATCTGATAATCGTCTTAGAGTTGTTACCATTATTAAATAAAAAATCAATAATAAATAAAAAAGGAAAGCTTTTCAAAGAGTGGTGGTAGTAGGTTCGGTTGAGTTTCCCATGAAATAAAACTTTCATTTTTAAGTTTAATGTGTTGTTTTAATTTTATCCTTAATATTTTTCTATCAAACCATAAAAAAATATTTAAAAAATAAACATAAATGGTTGTGGTGGAATAAATAAAAATTATTTTATGTCAAGAAAGCAATGTTCAAAAGTATGGTTATTTATGTCATATTACTTAATGCCATGTTAGTAAATAGGAAAAGGAAAAAGAATACTTAGAAATATAGTGGACCACACAAAAATTGCGTGATGAGACAACTGTGCTTTCATTTATTGTTTATTCTAATTTAAGTATTGGAAATAGTGGGTTTCAAAAGGAAAAAAACAAAATTAATGGTAATAGTGTTTAGACGATTTTGCCCTCGAATTATTTTGGCTTTTTATTGCCACAACACGATTAATGCTAACGAGCTTGATCTCTCGTCCACATACCACAATAGACACGAATTACAATGCCCATTGTGAGTGTGGCAACATATGGAGATATGATACGGCAACACGTGTTGTCTCACCTACAATGGTCATTGTAACTCACGTCTATCGTGGGGCAGAAAATCTGATCTATTAATGTTGGGACCAAACATGCCAAACACGGTGGGTTGGGATTCAAATGTTAGATTTTGAGAATTGGAGAGTTATTAGTAAGAGACAATTTCCCAAATATTTTCTTTCTTTCCTCGCACGAATTCTGTTTTGTATGTGAATGTGAGATTGTTTTGTACGGCTGCTATTTCAAAAGATAAGAATGAAAATTAAATTAAGATTCATTTTCAATAACGCAAGTCCATCATTAACTCGTGCATTCACGTGGAATCACAGGGCAAAGTTTAAGCAGCCTTTTCCCACAAAATCGTGTTTGATTTGAGTTATGCTCAATGTGAAAGTAATAATAATTAAATATCTGAGCATAAACATTTTTGGGTGCCCTTATCTTGAAACCGACTTGAATGTATTTTAAGCTTAAAGGAAATAACTTTTGTTATGAATTAACGATTATATTAGATTACATATGACCTAGAGACGTCTAGACTATATTTTTACGGTCAGGTTTGCTCTCACTAGAGAAAGATTGATAAAATGACAATTGGGATATCACTTCACGACACAATAAAGCAAAAACATCTACCACTAATAAAATAAAAACTCTTTTTTTTTTCGAACTCATTGTGAACTGTATATTCACACAATAAAATCTTTTGCACGTAAAACAAATTTTTTTTCCTACTTTTATCTATACATTCTCCTAAAAATCACTATTTCAAAACTTATTTTCTCAAAAAAAAAAAAAAACTCATTGAAATGGATGTCAAACGTGGCTTTACTAACTTTGTAAATTTTTAATAACACCCATTCCCAATATGACATTAGTAGAAACTAGTATTTCGAAAATCGAAAAATAAAAAAAAAAATGGAAAACTCTGTTTATAATGGTGAATAGCACATTCGTGAAAAGTTGCGACCATTTGAATATTTGGCTATTCATGTAAAATGTAATCTTTGATTAAAAATGGAGAGAAAATTGTAGCGAATGTCCCAAATCTTTCAATTTACTGTAGAATACACGTTAACATTTTATTTTTGTGACAACAATTCCAAACCTTTCACTTTAACGACAGCTGGAATCTATTGGACAAAATTCGTCCAATATTTCATTAGTCAACCTGAAAATTCAAACTTTGACTCAACTTGAAAAGTTAAGTGAACTAATAAAATGGAAAATTTATATTTTTATAATAAAAATAATTTAATCAAAAAATAAAATAAATATAAATAAAACAAAACTATTCATCGTCTTCAAACCCCCACTTATCCTCAAAACCAAAAAGCCAGTCGCTGCCGACCATAGTCATCAATCACCGACCACTGTACAGGTCATCGCCACCATTGCCTTAGGTCATTGGTCCTTCGCACAAATTCATTATCTTTCATATCTAATTCTACATTAACAACAGCTGGATTGAGAGTGGTGCATGTTAGCCTTTTCGAATAGAAAAATGCTATTCATCCCCAGTAGGGATGCATCCCGGGTCTATGTGGATGTAAATGATTGGTTAAATGATAGGTGAAATTAAATGACTTATTTAATTTCACCTATCATTTAACGTCACATTAACGCCACATAAACTGGGGATGCATCCCCAGTGGGGATGAATAGCATTTCTCTTTCGAATATGTGAAAGGGGAAGCTAGAGGAATGGCTATAAAGGCTAGAATAGCTAATGTATATATTTTGCTCAACATTCGGTTGTAACAATTCGAATATATTAACAACAATGGATCAAGCTATTGAAGATGGCGTTCATGTGATTTCTCTTTCAGCTAGTGTTCATGAGCATCCTCCACCGTACAATACGATTCGATTGCTAGAGGAGCTTTCGGTGCAACCAACACGGTATTGTCATGTTGTGCTCTACATGTAATTTTGACCCTGATCCGTATACTGCTATAAATATTGTGATTACGTCCAAAAAATAACGCGGTAGTTGTAGCACAGTTTTGGGGTGTCGTATCCACAGGGTGATGGAAAAATATTTAAAGGATAAAAAATGTTGAATTGTTCTCTCAAATGTGTAATAAAATTTAATGTTGAAATGTTAAATTAAAATNATTTACCAATTAATTAATTGACAAGTGTTGGATAATTAATTAATTGGGTTGTTTATTAATAGGCCCGAATTAATTAATTGAATTAATTAATTCATGGACCGGATTTAATTAATTTGATTAGTTAAATATCGAACCGAGTTAAGTTTAGAGATGGGCCAAGCCCACTTGGGCTTATATTAATAAGCTGTTAGGGTTTGTAAATTGCATGGAATTTTCATTATTCTTGCTAGCACAAGAAAAGAAAACCCTAGCCGTCATTCTTGTTCCCTGTGTGGATCACCATTAGAGGCTGGACAGCTTGGATTGCAGATCGTGATCATTGGAGTTCAAGAAAAAGCAAAATAGTTTGTGAAATTCATCAAAGGTATCATTCTCATCACAGTTTCTATCTAAACACATTGCAGATCCTCGTTTGGGAATTGAAAATTGTTTTATTTCCGCTGTGCATGATTAAGTAAATTCCCAACAGGGGCCTCCTTCATATGTATTTTGCTGTTAAGTATTTGTAAGAGTTGGAAATTAGATGAAAATCACATCCAAATTGGTTTCCAAAAGAGTTCTAATCGAATAAGGAAAGTTCCTTTTCCGCGCGGATTTTTTGTCTCTGCACAGCAGTCAGTAATTTAGTTATAACTTTCTCTTCCGATATCCGATTTAGACGATTCAAAATGCTTTAGAAAGATAACTCGAAGTGAAAGTTTGTTAGAATACTTTTTTCCAATTCGGACTTTTACTATGCCAAAAATGGATCTCAATCTTCAGTTAAAAATCTGGAATATATCTTGTGCGAATTGGAAATTGATTTTGATAATATTTCATTCATTTTTTACTTCCAATTGCTTCGAATCGACCCTTAGAACTCTAAAACCTTCATCGTGAGCCCCGACATAATTTTTAAGTATTTGCACTTTAATCCTTGAACTTTCACTTTCTTCCATTCTGGTCATTTTTCACTTGTTTCTTCTTAATTCCGCTATATTCATCACATGTCCTACAAAACATGAATTGCATAGAATTAAGCTATATATTAATATATAAATTAACAATTGCTCATGTTTTGACAGTAAAATAAGTATGTAAAAACGTACTTATTATATTGCTTCTTGGATTTTGGATCTATTAGTTTATTCGTTTTGTTGTTTGAGATTTGGATTGTGGATGTGTGGCGATGGTCGATATGGAACGGTGGCCAATGACTTTTGGGCATGTGTGGGGGTTCAAGGGGGCTGGTGGTTTGAAGAAGATGAATATTTTATTATTTTAATTGTTTTATTATAGAAAATATAAATTTACTATTATACCTTTGGCTTGGCTTAATTTGTCAAGTTGTGTCAAAGTTTGAATTTTCAGGTTGAGTGGATTCTATCCAATGGACTCCACTTGTCATTAAAGCCAAAGGTTTGAGACTGCGACTACAAAAACAAAAGGTTAAGTGTATTGTATAACAAATCGAAAGATTTGAGACCTCTGCTATAATTTTCCCTTAAAATTGTGTATGTTTCTGTA